CTTTTCTCAAGCATCCCCAGCATGCAGTTACACACACGTGAGGTCCTTTCCAACCGCTGTTGAACACTCCAATACCTTCAACGCTGGTCCCTGCAAACTTGCTGCTAGGAGGACTATTGTTTGGCCGTCCGTCCAACAATTCGCAAGTCTACAGGCTTTAAAGTGTTGCGTTTAATCTCGCCATGGCGTCTTGCCATTGAATCGGTCGGGAATTATATTCGGACACCTGGTCGAACAACCCGACTCACTCCTCTCAACTGTAGGCTGGCTTCTTTTAAGACTTCCTTTTCTTAATAAGTCTGAGGATGACTTTTCCATCTCAGGTCTTGGCGCTGTCTCTCGCCCGCTCGACTGGCTGCATGCTTTTGAATGCCCTAGCGGATTGCCCCCAGGCACGCTGTTACCCACTTCATTTGTCGGTGTCCCAATTAGCGTTGCAGACTCGGTCATCGTTGAAGAAACTGCTGTGGGTACTTGTGCCTGTGTGTTGAAAAATGTTCGTCTTGGCTTAGGCGTTGGCCTGAATGACGATAATGGAGTAAGTGTGCCGGATTCCTCGGTTGTGGAAACACTCCCGTCATCGCAGAACTGTGTGATCTGCAACCCAGGGAATGCCTCTGTCTGTGTAAGGTGTGTTGGCTGTAGCTGTTTGCTCAGCAAGCGGTCATGAGAGAGAAGTAACTCCCTCATGTTCCGGTTCTCTTCTTGAAACTTTTGTTATTTGTCTTCACCCCTCTCGACATCAAGCCGGAGGGACATTAAGTTACTCTCTGGGGCAGTCTACCACCAGGTGCAGCACGGGAGAGCAGCACAGGCGCGCAGGGTACAGCCAAGTAGTTCTCCAAGGTGAGCGCAGTAGAAAAGAGACGCAGTGTAACAAATCTAAATGGGACGGCGCTGGAACTGCTATGGGACTGACTGCGAAGGAACTGACCAGCTTGGCGCACGATCGCGATTACATCGCGCGGGCCGCCAGCATGAAGCCAACGTCTGGTGCGGTATGTCACCCGTGGCTGACGTATAGGTACCTGTCCCCCACTTACCACTTCGGAAATGGATATTGCGTTAAAGTATTCCCAAAGACCTTTACGAAACATATATTTGAAATTCACTTAGGAGGAATTTCAAAGATATACTTCCCATTTAATCATTAAGTGTTTTACATATATGACATGTGTTCGAAATATCAACCCAGGATAGACTGTCTTGTTCTAATGAGAGTAATTGGGAAACTGCTCTGCAAGCAGTGCAAACATCAAGTGTAAGTAACAGTGCATGCACCCTTACGCACAGAATGCACATTCAAACAGTTATAACAGCACACAGGCCCTAACCCACAGTGATCTTTTATGAAGAATTTCCTTTGTAAAATTGAGTGAGTGCAGTGTCCCTCTGAAACGTGATGGGGACGACACATTTAATTACTTTTCTTGTTTGTCTCTTACCTTTTTAAAANAAAGAAGAAGCCGGCAAACAAGATCAGACGAAGTAAATGACGACACTAAACACCAGCACATGAATAAAACATTTGAAACAGGTGGGATTCTTAATTTTAAAACCTTTTGCGCTCAGGAAGAACAGATACTGTCATGAGGCTGAAATGCTAATTGTGAATGTTTAGCTTTAAACATATTCTCCTTGCTTGTCTTCTCATAGGTGACTGTCTTTATGAATAACCTTGCGAACTTTTCAAAAAGTTCCCAATGAGGGCGAAAGGTATTAATTCAAAAATTTACGGTTATCTTTTAAAATTGTGAAACATAGTTTGTGACATAGTGTGAAATAATTGTTCAGAGCCTTGTATTTCTATTCGTTTGGTTGTGCAAGAATTAGTTCTCGGATTTATTAAATGTCTAGTGTTTCATGGAATTTAAGGTCACCTCTTTGTGACGGTCACTTTCTGTGTAGATGCAGCCTACCAAGTTCCAGAGCCAATTCCAGAGCCAGCACCATACACAAGTCTAGGCGATGGCGTAGTGAGCATAAAGACATCGATCAAGAAACTCGATACTAAACCTCTCACTTCTCGGACACCAAAGAATGTAACAGCTTATGAGATTCCTAAGCCCACTTTCGAACCTTCAGTGTATGCATCCATCAACGATGAAGTAGCTGTTAAGTCCTCGGCAGCGTCAGCTGAAGGCAGACTGAAGCCCAAACCTCTTCCGACACCATCCACTTTGCAAGTGATCGCTGCTGACGATGATGCTTACGAGGTTCCAAAATCCGTCATCTGTGCATCAGTCAGCGATGGTGAAGTGAAGATGTCTTCAGAGCCGTCCAACGCACGCAGTCTCAAGCCGAAACATCGCTTTCCACCTCAAAAGTCAATTGCAACCGGGGATAGCCATGAGCAGCGGATACCACAGCTTTTCAGCCGCATTTCGTCGGTCAGTGTTAATGAACTTGCAGAATATATACAGAAGAAGGAGCGGGCTAGTCAAAATGGCTTTTCTTCAGACTTCAAAGTGAGTGATCAGAGAAGGTGGTGTTGTCTCAGTTATATGAAATGCTCAATTGTGCACAAAAGGTCACCAAAATTCCATTTAAAATTGGAAAACCTCGTAACCAAGGGAACGTAGTCTATAGTTTAGTTCACATAATATAATAGTAATAGTTTATTCACATTTAATCAATGACAGAACCAACCTCTCAGAACTATATAAACAAGGAAATGTGAACGAAAATCGTTTGGGTGAAGATAAGAAATCTCTAACTGGTGAAAAACAGCTGATGATGATGACAATGACAACTATGGAGACAAAGGGGCGGAAAACCTCTGAATCTTCAAAAACACCTTAGGAAGGTAATGACACTTGATTTGAATGTGTTGTCTCATATACAAGCCGTCAAGAAAACCCTACAAGACGACAGTTGTGATTCACGCCAATTGGGGAAAAGAACTGAGCTTATCAGAAACCTACGATGCCGTTTGCGTCTTCCGTGAAGTTTTTTTGTTTTTGTTTTTCAACAAATCAGCAAGGGGCATTCGTATGTAGATCATATACAAATGCTGAACTTCAACTTACCCATTAGGTTCTTTCTTCAGACTCTTCCAGATGGCCAGCAACATCCAGCAAATGCCTCAGTACAACCACACAACAAAGCAAAGAACCACTATGTAGACGCAGTTGCCTGTAAGTAATGGTTAAAATGTCACTTTGGTTCCATCAAAATATACGTCCTGAATTTGATATTATAAATGAAATGACTTGGCCTAATAATGGCGCATGCAGTTTGTTGCGGAGTAGAGGCACTCGAAATGCAACGAATCAAATACAAGAGATTTTTTTCTTTATCTTTGAGTAAAACATGCCACAGAGCGCACCCGAAAGGGTGTAAAAATCAACTTTGAAGAGTCGTTGGATTTTTCATATATTTGTCTCACATCCCTGTTTTATTACTAAATACTGTAAACCACATCACATCAACAAACTTACAAGCTGTACATTCGCTGCAAATAAGCCATTTGTTTTATGTTGACAGATGACCATTCTAGAGTTGTGTTGGAGCCTTTGGAAAACGATCCTCATTCAGACTACATCAACGCTAACTATATCGATGTAAGTATTAGTGACATCTGTCACAGGAAGTCCTGACGGATAATTGCAATATGAGAGAACATAGTGTTAATTTGATCTGGTTTGTGAAAAATGACACTGAGTTTTCATTTTGAAATCATTCTTTGCCATAAATCTGATAAGAGTTTTAGAGTATTCGATTTGGATGTGATTTAGCAATTTTTGCAGCACCTGACATCTTTATATGGGAGGAGATGAAATCTTCACAGGAATATGTAAAGCTTGTTGATTACAACATTCTCCCAATAATCTAGTTGAGTTGTGAGAAAATACTTTATGCAATAAAACTGATTTTTACATTCTGGTCGTTGCAGGGCTGCTTGGAGAAAGACAAATACATAGCCACTCAAGGTAACTGTATATTAATAATATTAATTATTCTCTGCTAAGTTATATTTTGTATCATAACAGCTGTAAAGCCGTTACAAAGAGATAAAGGTGTGTTTGAATAGAGTGTGTCTCTTCACGTGCCATGAAGAGTATGGCAATGCAATATATTGACCAATGTATTCGACGCTTCTTTTTGTTTTTGTTAATTAATCAAGGACCAACTGAGTCGACAATTGGTGATTTTTGGCGCATGGTATGGCAGTTGAATGTTGGCAAGATTATCATGCTCACCAACCCTGTGGAAAGTGGAAAGGTAACATGTTTCATGATTATGGCGAGTGGTGACAAATTTCATTTACCTTGGCAGCAATTTCAGCAATAGGCCAACCCTTAACAAGATTGACCGATTTTCACATCAGTAATGTGCACAATCGGAAAGAAAAACTGGAGGTTAGGGTTGCACTTGCGGGGCGAGGCAAAATACGAAATTTTTATAAGGACCTTTCTTGGCATGTTTTGGTGAAGCTCTTTTGTCTAGCTTATTCCCGCTTCAACGGGGACGAAATGGTCCCAAATTGGAGGAAAATGTCATTATTCGATAAATGAGGCCACAATGATGTTCAGAAAATTGATTTAATGAAGCTGAGTAACATATTAATTGAAGACAGTGTCCAAATTTAATGTCAAAATGGCACGTTTATAAGTAGCATCCTCTTCTGGGGAATCAAAGCGGAAGGAAACCGGTTATATCCTGCCCGTTCCTTTGTTGTTGTTGTTGTTGTTGTTGTTGTTGTTTTTTTTTTTTGTCCGGACAGACAACGCTCACTGTTTTCAAAAAGTGGTGGTCGTTGCAACTTATTTGTTATATGCGACAAAATTCTTTCTTTCATCAGAAAATGCAATAGAAACAACAATTTCTCTTCTTGAGTGCATAAAATTCGGAAAGCCTTTGAGTTGGTAATTGTATATCGTGAAAGGGCTTCTCACGTGGGTAACACAGGGCACACTTTTTATATACTGTGGTTTCCATGTCTTTTGTTTAGTTGGGGGAGAGTAAGTCGGTCATGGGTGGTTGTTGTTGATTGGTTGTTTGTTGGTTGTTGGTGGTTGTTTGTTGGTTGTTGTTTGTTGTTGGTTGGTTGGTTCTTGGTTGGTTCTTGTTGGTTGTTTGTTGGTTGTTGTTTGCTGGTTGTTGGTGGTTAGTTGGTTGTTGGTTGTTGGTAATTAGTTGTTGTTTGTTGGTTGTTGTTTGTGGGTTGTTGTTGGTAGGTGCTGTTGGTTGGTTGTTGTTGGTTTGTTTTTGTTGGTTGGTTTTTTGCTGGTTTGTTGTTTTCTGTTGGTTGTTGTTGGTTGTTTGGTGTTGGTTGGTTGTCGCTTTTGGTTGTTGGCTTTTGGCTGTTGGTACGTTGTTGGTTTGTTGGTTTTTTGTAAGGCGCTGCCGCCATGTATATAAATACAATAGGTCCGCTGCCAATGTACTTATACCTACAGTGCCACTCGTTCTGCTAGTAATGCTGTACTGTGGAGTTCAACTGTCCCTACGTTGATATGTGTAGGCGAAATCTTAGCACACATGTACATTTTAGCGCTGTTTTGTACGGGTCATCAAGACCTCCNCATACCACTAATGTGCACAATAGGAAAGAAAAACTGGAGGTTAGGGTTGCATTTGCGAGGCGAGGCAAAATAAGGAATTTCTATAAGGACCTTTTTTGGCATATTTTCGTGAAGCTCTTTTGTCTAGCTTATTCCCGCTTCAACGGGGACGAAATGGTCCCAAATTGGAGGAAAATGTCATTATTCGATGAATGCGGCTTCAATGATGTTCAGAAAATTGATTTAATGAAGCTGAGTAGTATATTAATTGAAGACAGTGTCCAAAGTTAATGTCAAAATGGCATATTTATAAGTAGCATCATCTTCATTTCTCTTCTTGAGTGCATAAAATTCGGAAAGCCTTTGAGTTTTGGTAATTGTATATCGTGAAAGGGCTTCTCACGTGGGTAACACAGGGCACACTTTTTACATACTGTGGTTTCCATGTCTTTTGTTTAGTTGGGGGAGAGTAAGTCGGTCACGGGTTGTTGTTGTTGATTGGTTGTTTGTTGGTTGTTGTTTGTTGGCTGTTGTTTGTTGATGGTTAGTTGTTGTTTAATGGTTGTTGTTTGTTAGTTGCTGTTTGTTGGTTTTTGTTTGTTGGTGGTTGGTTGTCGTTTGTTGGTTGTTGTTGGTGGGTGCTGTCGGTTGGTTGTTGTTGGTTGGTTTTTGTTGGTTGGTTTTTTGCTGGTTTGTTGTTGTCGGTTGGTTGTTGTTGGTTGTTTGGTGTTGGTTGGTTGTCGTTTTTAGTTGTTGCCTTTGGCTGTTGGTTGTTGGTTTGTAGGTTTTTGCATGGCGCTGCCACCATGTATATAAGTACAATAGGTCCCAATGTCCTTATACCTACAGTGCCACTTGGTCTGCTAGTGATGCTGTACTGTGGAGTTCAACTGTCCCTACGTTGATATGTGTAGGCGAAATCTTAGCACACATGTACATTTTTAGCGCTGTTTTTTTACGGGTCATCACAACCTCCTTTTTTAAGACAAGGTCCTCTCAGCAGGGTCAGTATAATTTTTTTTTTCGAGATTGGGAACCGAATATAAGGAGTCATAATATTTTTAAAAAGGTATCCTAGCAGAAAGTGATTTTATCAGTCTAAAATGACTGAGGATTGTTAAATTCTAATTAACCACATGGTCTAATATATCCTAGGATGGGTGTACGCAGTACTGGCCTGATTCCGGATTTACTAATTATTCTAACATCGCCCTAAGTATTGTGAAGGAAGATGAGTTTCCCGACTACACAGTGCGTGTTTTCCAGATAGACAAGGTAAAGAAATATAGTCTGTTTTAAGACAAGCAGTTGGACACTAATCTATACAAATTATGTGTTCTTTAACACAATTGCCCCCCCCCTTATCTTGCAGTGTTCATGCGACTTTTGCGTATTCACTATCCAGGAATAGGATTACAAACAAAAGCCCACTGAAAGACGGAATATTGAATAGCAGTTTCCAGTGAGAAACACGTTATGATGGTAATGTTATATTTCTTACTATCATGACATGGAAAGGACTCGGGCTTTGAACAATTTCATTTTCTTGCTTTCATGGCCGACTTGCCATGCAAATATAACCACTTTAATGTGTTACTTATTCGTAATACAGTTTTTCAGTAAGGAAGACAATCGCCTTGTGACACAGTTCAACTTCAAAAATTGGCCAGAGACCAAACCACCCAAGCCGACAAGTCTGCTTAAATTTATACGTGTGGCAAATGCAGAACAAAGTGAGGGACGGACCGTTGTCCATTGCAGGTAGAAGTTATTAAAAAAAATTGGCATGAATGTTAGTTAATAAACTATAAAGCTCATCTCTTTCTTTATTTTTTTTTACAGCAACACAAGTGGTGCGTTGAAATTCTTACGTGTTCTCCAAATCCTTTAAAATGTCAGAGTCTAGCTTTTTCAGTTCATCTCACTGCACTTTGCAGTTAATTACCCTAATCCTTTCACCAGTAAAAGAATTTTTATCCCCCCCTCAAAAATTAGAACATTGTCTCTAAAACGATAAATGATTTAAAAGTGGTTACATGCCTCAGGAGACAGCGTGCTGCCCCAGCTCTTGTTTGCTGAATACACCAATTATGTCATGTTAGCCAACCAAACAACAGGATAAAAATCGTTTTGGACCTATCCTGCGTGTTTGTATTACACTATTACTTGTACCACGGTTACTTTTGGCCTTTGCTTATATTCCTCAAAGTAACGGCGTTGGCCGCACAGGGACATACATCGCTCTGGACTCCATGCTAGATCAGATGCAGAAGGAGCGACGAGTTGATGTGCTTGGCTTCATCTATCGGATGAGACAAAAACGAATCAACATGGTGCAGACTCCAGTGAGTATATGAGTGCATGGAAATCAAAAGGAGAACACCTAAAAACAGTTTGCAGTGGTAGATGATGTTAAGGTAATTCTACATAACAATTAAGAAGCAAGGAAGACGTCTTAATGAATACAATTTGGTGTGATGTTGTTACTTATTACCCGGTATTTAAAATTTGTTTTTGATATTTGTTTTTAGGAGCAGTATCGCTTCATTTTCGACGCTTTGTTAGTAGCCTCCAAAATGGTTGACACTCCATACGAGAATATAAAGGAAAGCACGAAAAGGATGAAATGGTACAATGCTTAATCAACAGGAAGTATCTACGTGACTTTGGCTTCCCCAGTGAGATAATGAAATGCCTCCCAGCTTCGGATAAAGATATGAGTATGAGTACATTCCCTCAGCCCTCAATGATTGTAAAAAGCTCTTCCAAGTTATAAGCATTGGTTCTCCATGGCTTGGAGGGCATGGAATATCAACCACCAAACGTTAGGTCCCTGTGTTCTCGCCCAATGTGTGTTCTCGCCCAATCTCACAAAATAACTGTATCTGTTGACGGTTTAGAGCGTTTTAGCCAGAGAACCGGTGTCCTTGATCGCAGCTGATAATCCCAGGGTTAGGAATTTGCAACCCCGAGTTCTGATAAAACATTTTAAAGTATGTAAACCACGTTGGTATTGGTGGTGTTTGTATGATATTCTGTTTTTATGTTTATGCAGTATGAAATTTTACACAGACCTATTCTTTATTAATGGAACACAAAATTTAAAGTAATTGTTGTCAATCCATTTTTCACGAGCTATGGGTGCTTTTTGCTTTTAGAAATACCAGGGTGGAGACGACAACAGGTGACCTGGAACGGTCAGTCCTTGATTCATGTCTAGCTTCAAAG